TTGAGATTTTTTTTTCCTTAGACAATACAGCTTTTGTGCCTACTTTGATCACATTTTCAAAACCCCATAAGAAGAACCTCTTAAAAACATCCCCACCAAAAAACAAATTAGAGGTTGGACTGTTCATCTTCTAACAAATATTGATTATGAATGTATGTCAAAAAGTGTTAAGATGTTCAGCACTCTTGAATTACAAAACACCCCACCAAAACTAAAAGCATTGCATAACAACTCCACAAGTGGACGGACAGGTTGAAATACTTCTTGAATGACAGTAAAAATTCAAAGAGAAATCCCTTTTGTGCTATTGTGTCTTTAAACTTGTGTTTGCTTGTACTCAAAAATGATAGGAAACTTTTAAGTTTTGCATAAATATGTTATGGAAGTTACCTGAAGTTTAAATAAGACCAAGTGCAAATTACAGTGCATCTTACTAATGGAGCTTCAGTGATGTCTCTACGTCACTATTGGTGAGGCGTTAGCTGTGCTTCTGAACTGAGGTGAGATGCCACGCAGCAAAAAGAGTATGAGGTTAATTCTAAATGCTCTGGACTTCCACCTGTCTTTACCTCCAGCTGCTTTGTCCTTTCCTATGAAAAGACATGAAAAATTAGAATTCTCCGATTTATTTATATATTTGCTGGTTTTGATTTAAATATTTTAACTATTTAAGTATTTTCTGAATTATATACTACTTTTAGAGTAAGCTGTAAGGCTGCAGAAAATGCTGAGCCAGATAGCAGAGCAGCCTTGATTCCAACAAGGCCATTAAAAGCAGTACAGAGCCATTCCTGTCCAAAATAAATTTGGGGTGAAAGTAGACATTGCTTTGATCCTAGTTTGGAGAGGGGAGGCTCTTCCTAAAGGATTCCTTTCGGATAGCAAACTTCTGCAACTGTCAGAGTCTAGGAGGAATGACGCAAAATAATCATACTCCCTCGTTTGTTTTACAGACTGATAATGTGTTCCCCATCATCTAGAAGTTCTCTCTTGGACCTGAACTACTCCCTCTCTCGCCCCCTGAGATCCATTTTTATTTGTTGCTGCCATCTCCAGTCTAAGCAGTTCCTTACTCCACGTTAGATGGACATCAGCAGGCAGCTCACAGAGAAGTGCAGAGAATCTCTCAGTTCTTGATTTCTTTTGCCAGCACCACACTAGCGAGGAGCAATAGCTGTTGAAAATGCCCTGTACAGACCCTGGATTCATGACTGGAACAAAGACAATGCAAAAGCAAATTCAGCAAATTTAGTAGCTCAGCTCTCATAAGTCTCTACTTACAACGTATAAACCAAGGATTTCCAGAGTTTACAATGTGGCCAATTTGGACTGGATTATGACAGAGGAAAATGCATAACCCTCATTTATATCGGGAAGAGTTAGTCTTTAAAAAAAAATGATTTTAGGGATACTATTAACATATACAAAAAACAATGCCAGTTTCTCATCCTCATAAATTACTGGATCTTATCAGAAATCACTGAGAGAGAAAGTTCCCCTAAAGAAACCAATTAAGCCTAAAGCAGCATGGAAAATTTCCACTCGAGTGCTTACAATTTGGCCGAGCTACAAGCAACTGGAACCAGATCTTAACATGGAAAGCACCATTTAACCCTAAACTCAGACACCGCTAACAGGTCTGCCCGTGAACAACAGAGACCTAAATACCTTCCACATGTAAGGCAGTAAGAAACATTTGTCTTCGGGTGTGCTTTAAAACCAGCACGCACACTATTGCCCAGCCGTGCCCTCGACATACTGCGGAGAAACTCCAGAGGAAATGGGGAAAACAGCGGCAACCGGACTACGAAATCGCTTTCCACCCGAAGGCCCCCGGGGGTTTGCAGAGCTCTCCCTCCGCGGAGCCGTGGGCAGCGTTATCAGAACCTTGGACAGCACTGAGGGGACTCGCACCAACGCGGCGCTCCGCCGCGCCGGCTCCGGCCGCTCGCGCCCCGGGACCGCCCGCACCCTCCCGGCCCCCAGCGCACCTTCCCTCCCCACCC